TTGTAGTAGCAATGAACAATGAGGTATATATCCTCATTGCAATGATGATGATGCTGATGGTGCTTTTTGCTACTGAGTAGCAATTCTCATTTAAATTACTAAGTGGAAGTGTTTATCATTGCAAAAAGAATTTTTCGCTTTTCTTGTAGTTTGCCCTCGCACGAGAAAGGTAATGGGCCACATAATTTTTCGTACAACAAAGTGGGGCAAAATTATGAAAAAGGTTTAGAACCACTGGACTAGGAAGAGGCTTAAACGCTAGAAACGCTATAGTTCCGCTACTCGCTATGCAGGGTGTTCTCGAACTTGAAATTCAACAATTGCTGAATTTCTCGCTAAACTTGTTTTGTTTATTGTAAAAACACTATGAAATCTGGTTCAGCTGTGATGTTATAAATCAAACGTCTTGTATAACTTGCTGGGATTCTTTTGTCAGAAGCGCAACGTTCTCCATGCAGCGACGAGTTAGGATTATTAGGGAGAAGTCGGTTCAACCATAGGCATTATATATATGATAGACTAAAACCTATTTTCTTTCATTTGCAACATTTTATTTGGTAGCAAAAGGTTTTCAAACGTGACAAGCTACTGGGCGATTCTAGACCAGCGGTTCCCAAACTTTTTGTTCGTGCGACGCCAAATTATCAGGGAAAAGACTCACGACGCACTTACAAGAAAAAATGCTGCTTTCAAACAAAACTTAATTTTGTGATCGTTAATGTGTACTTTATGCCTTTTAATGTTTTTGAACATGTAGCCTAAGGAACAAAGAAAAGTTCAACTCTTCTTCCTCATCGCTGCCTGATTTTTCTTTAAAATGCTAAAAAAAATCACTCATATTCGCCAAATTCGGTTCAGCAGATGAATAAACTGCACCTCACGAAAAGTAGTCTATTCTATTGTTACGTAACAATAGGGGCAGACATTACGTAACAGAAAGTAAACGACATAAAAAGGTGAAATGAATTTATTGATTCATATACACAGCATTTAAAAATGAGAAACATTAAAAAAAATTAATAATAAATACAATATGTAAAATATTCTATCATATTTTAGTTGTGTTTAACACAATTCTGTTAATTTTGGCCGCGCACTTGACAACTCGCCGGCGCACCTTTTGAGAACCGCCGCTCTACAGGATGATAAATGGGTTCTATTACATTTTAACCCACGACAATTGCACCTGCATACTATTGCACGTGTGGAATTTTTTTTTACGGATACTTGAACCCATACTAACCCTAACCAATGGATTTTAGCACCCTCATATAGATTGAACCCGCGGATATACGAGTGCGAATGTATGGGTTCAAAATAACGGTCACCGATAAATGATCTAAAAATATGCTGTGCATGAATGTTTCTTATTAAATACTTTATTTAATTATTTATACTAGGGTTTGTACACAAGGGTATTACGAAATAAAAATGCGAACTTATTAGACTAATAATGAACCAAACAAGAAGGTATAATTCTTCACCAATCAACAAGTAATGAACACTCATATTACATGCTACATTCCTATTTCAAATGTGTTTTAATTACATATTTCAATCTGGGTGGTAAATATGTTGTGCTTCGTCTTGTTATTTTGCTTTATTATATTTTTAGCACTGCATAGCATTTTTAAAAATTGAAAATTAACGATTCACCAGAATTGTTGAGAAGGTTGTGCAATTTATCCGACAACAAATTGTACGCTTTTAATGTTGCCGTTACGAGATGATTAGAAAGTTATCAACATATTAAGTATGATTGGTAGATGATCATATCTTACAAATCTTATCTTACAGCGAAGCAGCTATGAGAAAGTACACACATTAGTTTCTTGCTATTTTTGAATAGGGAGGATTTATTAGAAGTTATAAGACTATAGATAAGAACAGCAGCTGTCGACCACCGAAGGTTTTGAACAGTTTTTTATTGGATATCGGATCTACTGTTTCATGTTTGAAATGTTAGCTTTATTATAAACCAAGATTCTTCTGCGTCTTGCGCATGCTTAAATTCGAACTGTGAAGCGTCAATTTGGGTCAATTTTGAGCGTAAAACGAAATCTCATCCATGGTTTAATTGGTATGTAGACTCTATTCAAGTCTAAATCGAATTGTTTTTAATTTATCGTAGGCGAATCGTGTACCGTGATATTAGAATTGTTTATTCCTAAAACGCATTTTCGTGTTGTTGTTGTTTTATAATATATATTCATTAAAATTGAAACATAAAAACTTCTCAATGAATGAGCAACCACGCTTATAAAAATATATTTAAATTGTAAAATTCATTGAGTCATTACATCCTTGATGTATGAGCCCGAGTTGTGAGAATGGACAAGTTTAAAAAAAAATGAGGGCCTGTAAGCAAAGTAATACAAAACTTTTTAACATAACAACGTACCACGTGATAATATAGTTGAACGTTTATTAATCACTTTTTTTATGAACTATTGGATTCGATTCCGAGTGGAGGTTGCTTAATTGGTAACTGCCTACAACTAGGGTCATAGGGGGGATTTGGATTTTTTTGAAAACTGAAAAAGTCGCCGATAACGCGTGTAATTGCCTTCTGCTAATATCCCCAATTGTTTTCATCAACGTGGCTTGTTATTTAGGCCGTAAACGCCCTTTACATTGGTGTTTATTTTCTCTAAATCACAAATTTCCACATGTTTTGTGCCCCGGTATCAATGATAATTACTATATTTTTGTACTCGCACGGAATTGTGAAAACTGAAAACGTCGGCAATATCTCGTGCAATTGCCTTCTGCTAAAATCGCCGATTGTTTTCATCATCGTTTTATTTAGGCTGTAAACGCCTTTACGTTGGTGTTTATTCTCTCTGAAGCACAAATTTGTACCACGATAAACATGATTACTATTTTATTACTTTTTATCTATTGCTTCAAAATTGTTGTCGATAATTTTTGGGGTATCGTTAAACAAGGTTGGAAACGCGATTTTTTTCCCGGTATGTGATGATATATATAAGATAATTAATCTGAAGTATATCGATCAATTTTCATTCTACTGAAATAAATTTTACTCGGAATAAAATAATCGGAGTGGCATCATTGCGATTGAACGGAGTCAGTGTTACAAGTACATCTCGAATTTGTCTAATTCGCAAAATAGAAAAAATACGGATCAAAACAATATGTAACCGGGCAGTTTACCACACATTTTTTGTCCGCGGAATTCCGTGGTGTTTTAGCGTGGCTCTTGTTTTGTCGACGCAACCGCAGGTTAAATTTAAAACAAATAAATTAATAATGCAGGACATTTTAAATATGCCCTTATCCGGTTATGGATTGATTACTTTACACGAGAGAAAAATCATTTTTCGTTGAAGAAGTCGGCACTTTAAACAAGTGGCGTAATCGCGGCGACTGTTCGACGTGGATTTCGAGGCAGTGAAATTGTATTTTTGATTTATTGGTATACTTTATATCTATTTTCATTGTATGAAGTAAAATTGTACTAAACGTGATTTTATATCAGATATCGATTGCAAAAATACGTATCAAAATTAAATACATCAGGCAGCTTATCTCATATTTTTATGTCCACATATCGCCGTGGTATTTTACTGCAGTATTGTTTTTATTTGGACGTAAGAAGTCGCAACCGCGAGTTACGTTGGACACAATTAAATAAATATATAAGGACATTTTAGAATCTCGTAGTTGTCACGGAATATTTTAATATTTGACGCGACAGAAAATTCATTATACGCTGAAAAGGCTGCTCTATTAACGAGCGCGTGACCGTGGTGACTATTACAGACGGCACTGGAAATTTCCGATTTCGACCCCCCCCCCCTTGGGAAAATCCCGGTTGCGCGCCTGACCTAACTATAGGGTCTTCTGTTTGTCCGACTGATTTTCCGCAGTTTGTTGCAACAGTGCTACATCGATTGTTTCAAGCGTTATGGAGTCTAAATAAACTTGTACTTATACTCCCCATCATCCATTTTGTTTCGCTCCGCGCAGAACCTGTAAACTTTCTGAGGTTCTCGGAAATTAAGTCATTCTTTCACGCGCGTATGTTTTTATCACTCCTGGATTCACAGCTACATTAATTGTATCACGTAGTGTTACGGGATTTCCCACAACTATTCCGAGAGGTTTCTATCAAAATCCGACATCCATATGCAGTTTATAACTCCCTATTAAACATGGTCGACTGGCTATTTAAAACTTGGTTTTGTAATATTGTTACCAATCAGAAGAATCAAAGTAATACATAATATATATATTCAAAGATTTTGGTTCTCGATTATGGGATATTTCTTACCCTGTTACCGGTACAACTTGAGCCGTCGTGTCGTGCTAAATTACTGGCGGAATCTACCGAATCCCACAAAGATCAACAGCGGGACCTAAAATTTAGATAAAAATATCCTATTATCGTGAGGTTAGGATTATTCTCCATTCCTGGAGTTATACCTGCTTCTAAAATATTTTCCATGGTATGGGAATGAATTCTGGTGCAATTATTTCTTTAAAATCAATTGTTATGATGTATTCGCAATTTTTAATGAGTATATCAAGTAAAGTTTATGTTCGTAATCTAACAATAACAACTCACAGTGCAATACCGATTACACACTTCGATGTTTCCTTGATTTGAAACAGAATTGATCAATAGAATCCGGTGGGGACTTTCCATCAATCTGTGTTATCTATTTGGTTGCCTTTTTCGTAGCCATTGTTTTAATAAATTCGCATACCTTATATATTATAAAAATGTTTCAAGTCGTTCTATTCAAGCTTGGTCAATCCATGTTCACGTTGCCATACTACAGCCCAAGCAAGATTTTCACATCTGTATTAATAGACTCTGAAAAATTTGGATTCACAAAAACTAGGGAGTTCATACTTTAGTAAAGTTCACAGCTGCATGAGAAACAGACATTTTTATGGCCTGATGTTCCACACATCAGTTTCTGCTTTTATTGATTGAGAAATTCCAAGTCAGAAGCAGGTGGCATAAAAGTTAGATAGTGCCATATCAGTGGACAATAGTCGAATTAAAAATAAATGAGAAAATTGTTTGTTGACAAGAAATCATTCTGTAATTTAGAAATATATATATAGCTTCTGAAACTAAATAAATTTTGCAGTGACTAATGATTAATGTAGAATTTGTGAATGGGAATGTTTAGGTATTCTTCGAAGAATATCGTAAAATGGACGACTACTCCTCTAACGTATCGCAAACGAGGTAAGTTATGTATCGTGTTTTTAGTAAAGTAGTTATCAGGTTATGCAATTTAATTCAGATTATTACATATTGATATAAAAGTTTTTAAAAAGTTGTTTCAGTAAGTTTGTCAAAGCTAATGCTGTAGTGTAATGATTGCGTTATCAGTTATAAAATATCGTGCGTTCAGTTTGATACCATCCTCAATTTCTGATATCAAATTGTCAAGATTGCTCAACTTCAAAATTTCAGTCATAACTGAATTTATCCTGTTATCCGAATGCGAACAATTTATCGGACTGGGTGTTTACCAACAGTGTTTTCAATGTTGTTGTGGAACTCGGGTCTTGTATATTAATGGAATGCGAGATTGTTCATTACTGAAGATCTACTACTTTAATGTTTAGTTTAGATGGTTGTGATGTATCAATGTGTTTGTAATATGAGTTATACAACGATCTCGTTTTATTTGTATTCAATATTATGTATTATTTACCTTGTTTTGGATTCTGAATTTGAAACAAGTAGTCCAGGATGATTATATTCAGTTTCTCTTTATATATATATATAGATTCTCCTTATATTATATCGAATTCGCTAACAACGGGTTCCCCTCATTTCAGAGAACCGTGCCGAACTAAAACAAAAAATTAATAACGGGTTCGCTGGTATCGCGCTAACCTAGGGGTGGGCAAGGTTTTTAGAGCAGGGGCCAGCAATTTTGCCCATCTAAACTGGCGGGCCATGTAAGTGTGACGTAAAAGTATCATTTTATGAACAATATTTACAGTGTTACAAAAGCAAAAGTGGAAAATAACAAGCCTCGTGACGAAACTAAATTTATTCGCGATTTCAACAAATTTCTTTAGCTGAAACATAAAAATTTGGTTTTAGTTTGGTTGTGGCATCATCAGGCGGCCAGCGTAAATTACCCAACGGGCCGGATTTGGCCCACGGGGCGTGGTTCACCCGTGTCAGCGCTAACCTGTGCGCGAAGCCCCGATTTCTATCATTGATTATATTACCTCTTTTTCACCTGTTCATTTAACGTTCAATCACTTTTTTATGTGTTGTTCAGATTGGAAAGCAAACGATTGCGATGCTCCTACTCGTTAGATGGGTCCTCAAAAGACAATTATATTGTATGCCAACCAAATGAGGTAGGGAGATAGTGACATCAAAATAATTATCATTTGCAGTCTGCTATTTCAGTATTTTTTTTATAAATGCCAAATATCTGCAACCATAATCATAAACTCTTACTGCCTCGTCTTGAACACAAAGCACCGTGATCAGCATGAAACGTAAAGAAATCAATACATTGGCCCGCTGCATTCTTTTGTTTACTCATGTAACATATTTCATTTACAGTTCTGCTCCTCAACGTGGTATCAAACGAAGAAGCCTTTTGAAACAATCGTAACGCGCAGAGGTAAAGCAAAATAATAAAATTGAATACAAGTTTTAGAATCTAATGACCTTTCGGATTCCGTTTTTTTTTTTATTTATAATCCAAGTATTTCCTATAAATACAATCACTGCTCGTGGGAAGGATCTAGATTCTTGACTATGCCCACCACAATTATTTAAATCTAATACTGTATAATATATAGAATGACTAATTACTAGTTGGATACTTTGGGAGAAGGGATCTTCATACGATCCCAAATTGTAATTTCAGAGGAAGCTGTGATCGCAGTTTCAAATCCGTCAGGTCGAAAACTTATAACTATGAGAAGAAGATGTCAGGGTCTAAATTTTATACCTACTAAAAGCCGGACACTGAGTCGAAATTTTCAACTAAAAAAAAATTTATGGTTTTGCTAATTTTGTTGATTAGGTTATTCTATGTCGGAGAGAAGTCAGTTACGTTCAAACCCCGGGTGAAAGTTGTAGTCGAATTTTATGTCAATCTGGTGTAGGGAGCCGAAGAAAAACTTTTCCCGATGATTTTATTAATAAATTACTGTCAGTCGTTATTTTAAAACTATAAAGCAGGTGATGTTTTGTTTATCTGCAGATTGCTTTACTCCCCCAGCTGGTACGGAAGATACAGCCTGTGAACAAAGCGAATGCAAATCACTCATAATTAACTGGAATGATACAAATATCGCTTGTACCAGAGGTGAGGTTTCAACTATGATTATTTTTTTTAATAATAAACTCGACTAGGTTTTGATTGATGCTACAACGGCAAAGTTTTACCAAGCAGAATATTCAAAATGTTCCAAAATCTACTACATAGGTAGCCAGCGACATTTTCTTTATTATACTCTTTGTTGTTTTCTAGTTTCAGTAAATTCCTGAGCTATCTTCCCCTATTTTGTCGCCTTACTGCGCGAAATTTATGCTGAGCCAAAATGTGTCACTTTGATTTCATATTACAACCCCTCGGCGGAATGGCGACACGAGGAACTTGGTCGAATATTTCGCAATCGCGGCGTTTTTGCGCATGTCGACCTCAAGCTCGATTGTCAGGCAGAAAAGATTCTCGCGCTAGGCGTCGTATATGTTAACGTTCCTCGGAACTCATTTGATAGACCACCAAAAAAAAAAAAAAGTTTATTCCAACAAAACTTCAAAACAACCAGCTTGAAGACAAATGTTCCGATAAAAATTGAAAACAAGACAATGGTTCCCGAACGTTCCACGAATCCTAATTGAATTATTATCCGCTTTATTATCCGCTAATTAAATTATCTGCTTTACCATATGGATCAGTGATTCTCAAACTAGGGTTAGCCGCATGCGGCTCTCAACAATTTCTTTTCTGCGGCTCTTGTTAATGCATCGAAAATTAATTACTTTCAAAGAAAATTTTTATTGAAAACTGATCATTAACTTGAAATTAAAATGCGAAAGTCTATTGGTTAGTCCAGGGGTCACCAAACTACGGCCCGCGGGCCGGATCCGGCCCGCGACGTCATTTTATCCGGCCCGCGGCGTCATTTTATCCGGTCCGCAATAACACACAAAAATGGCTAAATTTTTTTCCAAGGGAGATTTTCACGAGCATCGTCGTCTTTGTTTATTTCGTAACATTGGCCAATCGGCAAGATGCAAAAAAGCGACGTAATAATAGGCCTTTCCGCGTCCGCTCAGACACTTTTGTCACCCTGACAGATTTTCAGTCGTGGTTGTAAACAAAACTTCGTTTTTGCGACTTTGAATGCTACCAGTACGTAACGTTTTCGGCGAAACACTCACACTCGTGGCGCGTGCTTTCGACGAAACTGTTTTTGTGCTAAAATAAACGTCGAATGTGCATTTTGTGCAGTACTGTAATCCCTCGCGTACTGCTCCAATTTCAAAAGCCACACTAACTTTTGTACTGCTTTAATGCGGATATTCATGTAGGTATATTACAAAAAAATTGAAGTCCATCCGATTTAAATAAAAACTGCTCCAGTGGAAAGATCTGAGTAAAAATAGAAAACAATACCAAGTTTATAATAAACGGTCAAGAAATAACGGAGATATCGGAATTTTAGTACCGCCCGACAGGCCAATTTTTTCCATAATGATTGTATTACTTTTTTGATAAGAACTGAACTAAATATGGAAAAATAACACATATCAATCACTAATCTTTCGATGTGCGTCACATCTATGGTATATTGAGACTATTTCAGACTTTTATTCTGGCAACGGTCATTGACACCGCCGAAAGATCGTCGCAAATAAACGCTGGAGTTGTGCATGATAGTTTGACAGTGGTTCATTGTAGGTAATAATTAACGATGTGCTGATTGTACGAACTTCATAAAAATTGTATCAAGTTAGGAAAGAAATACACACGTCCACATACATTTTATTGGTGTCCATAGACAATATCATTAATTTGCACTACGTATAACTGGAGCGTAATTTTTAAAAGCGTCGAATGTTGGGAAATTTATGCGCTAATGAAAAAAATCAAATACCAGATAATAGTTGTTTATTTCATCTAAATTATGTCAAAATTTTATAGAATTCCAAGCTACAGCAGATAGTCGTTTTTATGAGAGGTATTTCAACTCGGCGCAAGGGTACTTAGCAGACCGTAGTAGTATATATTTACGAGCAGACGTGATGCGTACATTTTTTGCCGAGGATTTTGTAACATTTCTAATTCATGACAGCAACGTTTTGATAACAGCTAAACTCAGGATAATTGTCTAGATATAGAAATCTTGTTAATTTTTTTCCTAGGATGTTCTCGTTCTATATTCTGCGATATTCCCAACATTTGTGAATTTATTGTATTGCATTGACAAAAATATTCATCCGGCCCGTTTCAACACAATTTGAGTCATACCCGGCCCGCGGTCAAAAAAGTTTGGTGACCCCTGGGTTAGTCGAATGAATTCCCCCGTGTTCATTAGCGTAGCGTCGACTAATCTACAAGATGCAATAGTGACGCAACAGTAAGCGCTTTTGCGGCCACTCGGACACTTTTCACTTGGAAAGATTTTAGACATGGCTGTAATAATTGGCTTGCTTTGGGGTAAAGTGAAGAGATGCAGATCTTAAATTCATGGAAAATTGAGTTTATCATGTTTTTCTATGGTGTTCGTGTTATTTTAGTATTAGATAGATGAACCTAGCAAATTTGCCATTGCGTGAATGTTGATTTAAAATGGAGATTAGATAAATAGGCAATACAGGCATTTCTAGGCCTTTGTGCCTAATAGAGGGTCAGACGCTAATTATACCTAATTCCTTCAAGTTTTAACGTTTTTTTTTTCAACGAAACAACACCCCGATGATTATTATAGCTAAAATACTTACTGAGTAATGCTCAATTTTATTTACGAAATTTGTAAATTCAGCACTTCACCTAATGATTTTGATGGCTTAAATATCACTGCCCAAATGCTTCAAAATTTAACCATTGTAATCATTTTCGATGATGATAGACGCACCATTTCGTGAACGAGTCACTGTGCATTGTTACAACGAAATTCACGATTGATTTTTCGTTCTACTGTTGGCTCAACGACCATTATGGTCGAGTAAAATGTTTACATATTCGAAACATTACTTGGCCACTTACTTAATGAGTGTGTGGATACAAGTAACTCATACCAGCTTTTAAAAAAACTTTGACTGGTCATTTTTAAATCCATGCTATTTAAATACCTAGAGTTATTTAATTTTAATCAACTTTATGTTCGGGTCATGCAAGAATTGGCTAATGTCATGTCACCAAGCATGCGGAGTTTAAAATCTGTAAAATTTATTTTAAATACCTAATCTGGTTTGACGTTTCTAAATTTACGGAAGGTTTTTTTTGCAAAATATAGAATTGAAAGGATACGTTAAGTGCAAAGATAAGCATATAACACCGTAACGCAAAGACAACGACTTTTCTAATTTGTCGTTTTTTTTCTGATAGAGAGCGCCGTTTGGAAATCTCGCACAATTCACGATTGAGTTGGTGTCTAAGAAGAGCGGCGCAGGTCACGTGGTACCGGGTATTCGAATAGTAAAATGTCATTCGAATATTTTATTATTCGATACGTTATTCAAATATTTTGCCCAGCCCTAGTTGTTACGTGTGTTGTTGTTACGATGACTTGGTATTTTAAATAAGCGTCTGAAGGTTGGTGCTATTTTACCTTGCGTGTGCGGCTCTTCATAACTTTAAGGTTTGAAATTTGGCTCTGGGACTGAAAAAGTTTGAGAACCACTGATATAGATGGAGCGCACAGTTTGGTAGAGAAGTGTGATTTGAACAAAAGCTAATTTATACTCAACTATAAATGAATCCAATCGTTAATAACTTTAGGTCCAGGAGCAATATGTTGCTGTAACGAAGACCTCTGTAACATTGATGTTCCAGGCTATGATCAAGGCGAAGGATGTTATAATTCAATGTCAACAACAACTATAACAACAAAGAATGATACAATATTTATTTGTGAGTTGTTAGTATTTGAGAAGATTGATATATGAAATAGGGTATATACCACAAGTGAAATTTTTGTTTTTCGTAATATTGTTGGACTAAAAAAGGTCCCAAAACTCATTCCCGGTCTGAGGGTTAACATTTCTGTATTCCGACCTACCTTGGATTGAAATTGATTTAGACTCTAACATCAGATGTCGACAACAAAATAACACATTTGTATTTTGCCAACTTTGGCGATTAAAAGTCGTTTTCTAGTTTTTGTTAAAAATTTCAACACGACTTCCAACTCAAAATTTCAATTTCGACAGCGACCCTGAACATTAGAACTCTAAAATTTTGGGAAGTTTAATATCTCGATTCAAAATTTTCAAATATTTTCTCTACAGCTACGACTTCGCCATTGTATACTATCATCGCTTTATTTATTGCAATATGTATTATAATCACCGTAACCGCATTTCTGATTAAAAGAATTCGGCAACGAACAAGACCACCACAGAGGTATGGAATTATAATATATATTTATTCCTTATGTCACGTTTTATCGTTTTGAGAAAATCCCATTTATAGAATTTCCAGATCTATGCCACTAAACCTACAAAAGAAGATAAGACACTACGTAAAATAAAAACTTAAACAGATATAACTTTGGAACCCCAATCAAACAATGGCCCGCCTAAGCCCTGGACCATAATGACAGAATATCAAAAAAGATTTTACTGCAGCGGTATGTTTGTCATTATGCTTACATACACAATCATAAGTCATCCACATTCAAGTTGTGAACACTATCATTCCAATTATCTAATTTCAGTACATGTACTCAAAAACAAGAATATAGCATGAGAAGTTCAACGGTGTCTACGAATACACAGCCAGATGAAATACTGACACAGGTCGTCCATTGCATAGCCGGAGACGACATGGGTAAAATTTATCATTGATTGGCAATTACAAGACATGTCATAATTGGGGTATCGGATCCTGTTCTTGATATGTGTAAATGATACTTTTACAATATATATTCGCAAGGTTTTAGCAGCTGCTGTTGAAAAGAGCTAGAATCATTTGAATGTGACATCACTTGCCCAACTGACCTCGCTCTTGACCATTACCGGACATGGTAATATTTGATTTCGGTCATGTTAGTGCCATAGAAAAGAACTTCAACAGGTTAGCATTTGCCATATATGAACAACTGTTTCTAACTTGACAATAGCAGTTTGCTTAGCCGTGTTGGGTTATCAACCATTATTGAACAATTAGGCTAAATTTGATAAAAGTTTTAATCTCTATCAAGATACAACCGCAGAAGAAAATGAGATTATCCCACCACCATGAGTAGTGAGTACATCGTGAAAGATGCTGAGCGATTGCCTCTTCCAAGACGATTATTTATACCAATGCAAAAACGTTGACCCGTGATCAAATTGTTCTGGTACAAAACATCATCTTTTAAATATTTTTCCTTTCTCAATACTATTGATTCAAAGCTACCGATTTCGAAAACATGTTGGTCTATCGTGCTTTTGAAGCCATATCGAAGATGACAAAGCTTCTTTATTTCCATCTGATAGAACCACCATTTTTGTGCTATCTGATCTATGTAAAGGCTCAAATTTTTTTCATTTTGTAATGCTGTCCCTTGACACATATTTTTCCTTAATTTTTGATTGTGTTTTATATTGGAGCATACACTTCTCACATATTGCATTTTACTACAACAATTTGTTATTGTATTTTTTTGCTTGGTGTACGGAAAACATTTCAGTTTCAGTGAAAAACAGAATATTCTCATACCATTTGCAAGGTACTGAAGAAGACTAGGTTCTCGCCTCACAACTAGGGCCGGGCATTTCGCATGAATAGTGAATTATTCGAACCGGTTCAGACGAAAATTTCGAATCGCCGTTTTTTTTCTGTCTGCCAAAGGTCGATGTGAATTCTATCAATTTTTGTGTTGATGAGACTCATTACAATTGAAAAAGTCACACACAATCACATATTTCATAGTATTCGAGATTCGATTCGAATCTGAAATGATTAGGCCCTAATCACAACTCGATGCTGATGGGACACAGAGCACTCATTATGTGAGCATAAATCAGAGTATATATAAGGCCGAAGCTCTAAAGAGCGGTATTGAACAGTACTTTCTTGAACAGATTATTTGAAGCATAGGTGGGTAGATCTGAGATGGAGTTATGTTCTGGGTCAGAATATTTATCGCAATGTGTTTAAAATGAGTACACTTTGTCGGATTCATAGCGAAACTAGTGTTTCGCAAAATATAGAGTTTCCTCGCAAAATAATATACAGCACATTGGACACAGAGTGAATAATGTCAAAATGTCGCGACTTTGTAAAAGTATGAAAAGCTGAGAAATTTAATCATAGAGTAAGAATCACATTTACTGGTATTTAAATCTAACAACCTAGAACTCTGATATCCTGTACAACTCGCAACGAAGCATCATGTTTTGTCAACAAAAAATACTGAACACACATATATACTCTATTTCCAATTCGACTAAAAAACTAAACGATAATTAAATAACAAGACAGTGATTATGCGGTTCGTGAAGCAATAAGCAAAATAATAAGCATACGTACCTAATAGAAAAATGAGTATGTTCTTTGGAATCGATTAGTAATTATCAAGATCTATGTATTTCTAATCTATCTCCAAACAAGATTGTGGTATATCTATGATCAATTCTATGTTCTATTTAGTAATAGTACTCACTTAAAATGTCAATTGACTAAATGAGTAAAAATAATAATTTAATTACCGCAGTATGACAGTGAATTAGGTAATTTTTTAAATTGAACTTGTAAAAAACAAAAAACTCAATATAAGTAACTAAATTATAAATAATAATACAAAAAAGTCATTGCTAAAACCTCTTTACTCGGCAAAATTGTGCTGGATAATACTGATTCAAATATCAAGCATGGCCATTACATAAATCAGTACAATTCATTAATGGCCAACGTTCGGCAGTCGAAAATTTGAAAGGCTAGGACAAGAAGCGCTAATGCTTGAAATGGGGAACAATCATCTATGTTGTGAATTGCCTACATTTTAAAAACGTGCTTTATTAAGCGTATAGGGCTATTATCAATTTTGTTTCTCAGTAGCGCCATGTCGCGGTGATTGTTTCTCCACATATTGGCCTCTAGATGATGAACATTTCCTTGAATAATTCGCTTCCTCTGAATTTTGGGTGATGCTTTTTGTAACTTGAATATAAGTGAGTGATTTCTTGAGTGCAGGGGGAGTATCATGGTCTTGAACCGGAAGTATACGTAATTGCTCTGCAAGGAGATCGACAACTCCACTCCCACTTAGCAGAATGTCCTTCATTAAAGTCTCTTGACTATCTTCTGAAGACGCGGTGGATATATTTGAACGACCATCCGTAGAAGAACCCAACACTGGTAAAATTTTGTCTTCGGAATTATCAACTGAAGAAAGATTTCATTTATGGATTGACTGAAATATAATTTATTTGCTATTCCAGATATAAAAATGTCTTCCTCTCACGAAATATCAAATTTGGAGCCGATTCATATGTTGTGACAACAATATTTTCAGCGGTGAAATCGTGATTTATGTTACCTTTTAATACGTGAAATTCAGTATATTTATGAATCACTCAGCTGCAAAATACATCTAATTAGACTATTCAAAATATAAATTAATTACAATGCGAAATTCTTGACTTCTGTATTTAAACATAATACATCCCCCATTGGTGAGTTTCATTAAAAAAAATGTAATCCCTCGACATCCGACAGGCATCTGGGACACACCGTTCCCGCCATCTAAGCTATGACTTTTCACACGCTAATCATATCAAGTCAACACTCACGTTGTTGAAATATTTACAGTCGAATCCGGTATTCGAGGGCAATTAACCATTGACACTTTCGATTTCGAGTAGGATTATGGCGGGGGAATTGGAAAGATTAGTCTATTACGTGATAGAAGTACTTGTTTGGGTATAGATTGATCGTGGAATAGAAAACAAAATTAAATTCCAATTTGAATTATTTGCAAGAAAACATGACACAAGGGTTGGTTGATTAAACTGACGAATGTTAGGTATCCCTGAAGCGAAGTAAACATATCGTCACAATACATAGGTGTGATGTCACGGGAGGAAACTATAATACTACAGCATTCAGGCATGGTATGAGCTTTGGCTTCAAGATAATTCGACAAGCAATCGAAGTATAAACTAGAATTGTCGATAGACTTGTTCTAAAATTCTACTTTGAATAATTTAGATTCCGTTTAACCCAATTGGATCTGTGTAAAATTATGGTATATTCCAAATTTAAATTTATTAAATTTAATTAATATATAAAACCCAGTGTGTATATAAAATTGATGCATCTATTTTGGGTGAATATCATAACATATGGATCGCAGCTTGAAATAAATTATGCTTTACCTGACTAAAGAGTAAATTCAACAGAATACCAGTAATTTATGTATCCTAAACCGTACAAAACACTGACTTTATATATCACTTATTTCAAATTTTGTCAAACTTTCCCAGGGTGTAAAAAATAGGATAGGCAATGCCGAAACGAATAGATTCCGACTTCTCACAAATTATCAGCTTCTTATGTATCAGTCGCTGCTTGTATAAAGCCTTTTCGAAGTCAAGCTTTGAAAAAGACTCATAAAAAACAGCCTTGTATAGATGAGCGTTATTCTCACTCACCTGTTCTAGATTTCTGCAAATCGATGCATGTAAGCTGTTCTTCGTTCCTCGGAGTATTCTGAGATTGATCGACATCAGATGCATTTTGTTGTTGTTGTTTAGACTGTTGTTGTTGTTGTTGCTGTTGTTTTGTTTTAATATGCAATACCGATCTTTTCGATGGTCGAAAATCTCCAGGAGTTCTCCAAGCGTGCATTGGGCAGTGACTGAAAGAATATTGGATTGAAATGAAACCATTGGTAACAAAAATAGCAAAGGCAAATCCTGTTACTATAACAACAAAATCGATTCAAAATAACAGACCTAGTGCGTTATCCTTCCAGCAAAATGAAAAAAAATCAGTAATCATGCTTGCGTATATTGCGCATACTTCTTGAGCATTACGTTACCTATTCAACGCCGGTCAATGGGAATTTTGACTCTTCTTATTATGCCCTTTTGTATTTTTCAATGTACGCTGTGCTAATAACCACCAATAAATAATCATCACTCCGTTTTTTTTGAGAATCCGTGAAAAACAAAAAATTTTCCTGTACATGTTGTTATTTGTCAATCTTTTGGGGAAAATATTCTGGTTGATGTATACGCCCAGTCGAGACATAAGCAAGTTCTAGAATGGCTTGAGGCGTATATTTTACGTCGATTGTCAGACGTAAATGACGCACGACGTTGTCGCTGACACTTGTGACCCGCAGCGTTCAAGGTGAATTTTTTTTCAGCGTGACTCTGCATGATGACGCCTTTGAGCTTATAATAGCTATGAAACTGTAGACGAAACTAAAGGTGGAAATTTTCATAATATCTTGTGGAGTTTCCACAATTCGTCTGGAGTCAATCATGAAGCACTTGACTTGACAATATTGCCATCGTAAATTAACATTCCCATATTCAACACCTCACTAGAGGTAATCTAAGCAATGCCGGGACCGGGACGGAAAGAAACTATCTTCACTTCACAGCGAGCTGTAGCTTCTTAGGCAGAGCCTTGTTTTGAGTGAGACGAAGATGAAAAATACAGAATTATGAAATTACGGCATATTGCGTAAATAGAAAGTCAATTCTTCGCATTGAACTGACTATATAACTCAATAAAAATAAATAATAAAATTTCCATTTTTCAAAGATTCTTATTGGTAAGAAATTTGGTCAATGATCATAACTCCTAAGGTCATTGCGCACTAAAAAACAATTTTTTTGATCTGAGTATATCACCATCTTTTCTACAATGACCGAACCACTAATACCCTTGAATTTGACGATCTAGCTAATACATGAGAGCTTTTGCCGCGACATAAGGGGACTAAATAATAAAATCAGATTGCGAGGCGAGTTTAAAAATGCTATTGTAATTTGAGATTACGTTCTCAGGACTTATGTTCGCATCGCGTCGCTTTACCGCACAGCTTACTTGGTGACAAAAAGTAAAAAACAAAAATGAAATTTAATTCAAAAGTTAGTTCCCTGGTTTTGAGTATCAAGGTTTCGCGACAATTAATCTATCCCGAAGACAAATAGATTCACCGCCAAATAGGACGTGATTCTCATGTAGAAGTGACTTAATACTTTTGAAAGGTTCTTTTCAAGCAGATAGCTTTTGTCACTTGAATTAACAAACAATCTAGCTATTGAAATAAAATAGTAAATGCCCCGGTACCGAACGCCATGGGAAAACAAATTTAATACCAGTGTTCTTAGAACAAGTTTAATTCTCCACACATGAAGGAAGGTGCAACACTTTTACAGTTTTGGCTCTCAACATATTTTCTAATAAAAGTTGGAAAAATACCGTAATTGAAATATAAGAATTGTTGGTACTCCCGAAGTATGTGAACCAAGATGGCGGACACCGGAACGTAGTATGTGTACCAGGTTAGGGTTACGCCATAATTTTATTCCAATTTTCCATATTTTAGTTCTATTAGTTCGAGGACTAGCCAAGTGACTCCCGTAGTATTTGTACCTGAAATTATCGCCTAATCCTAACCTGGTACACATACTACGTTCCGATGTCCGCCATCTTGGTTCACATACTTCGGGAGTACCGAATAGTGGACTTAAAATGCACGGAGTTAGTTACCTTTTGCAAATTCCCATCAACCAGGGGTTGATTGACTTGAAATGATATTTCATGCTGTGATAACTTGTGCTCTTAAATCTGTAGGAGTCGAATATCTAAAAACAAAGTTTATCGAACTTTATCTATGTTCTACTAATACAAATTTGTAAATCGTCTCCGCGATTTGTAATTATATAGTATTCCAATAGGATTTTGAACACGTGCCGAAGTCCGAAGCTAATTTTCATAAAATCACATACACAGTGTTATACAAACAGCAGTAAGACGAAAATACAGGAATCGGATATATTAATAGATCTTTCGTCTTCCGAGAAGTTTTAAATTTAGTTGTAGAAATTAAAAATTAGTCTCGAAAAATTTGCGCTGGACAAGGTTAAAATTAGCTAAAATTACCACTTAATGACGGGTGATTAAATATTTTGAATCAAAATAATGGTAATTAAACACGTAAACCAGTTTGTAAAGGCACCAATTATCGAAAACACTCTCAAAATAGGCATCAAATATTCTGCAATGGTGAAGGATAGGAAAATGTCTGGGGTCGAAATCCCTCTTCAATGGTGTACACAGAGGTGTTTTGTTTTGACTACTATCAGACGTTCTGAGTATAAAAGAGCCCTTCAAGCCTTTAGATGAAATTTGGACTACAGATTTCGACGGAGTTCATCGCAAACGCATGGCCGACCACAGCTAATTCCATCCGGATGATAAGATTAGGTCTAGGCTTTGTATAAATTTGCAGCAAAACTCTTATCTTGCAGCCGCAATATTTTGGAAACTTTGCTGATGAAATCGTGATCATTGCAGGTCGCCCATAAACAAACAAATGTGATTTTCTTGTCAAAATGAAGATAAATTGTTATCAGTGATTAAGCCGATTAAATAAACGAGTATTTCAACAAAGAATTTCAAAGTTTCACATCTTTAAACTTTTACACCCACATATTTACAACATAAAACTGATCCATGCTAAAATAAGCCCAACGGTGTCATCGACGATCATGCGTAATTTGAATATGCGCAGATTGTTTATTGTGGATATAAAGATTAAAAAAAACGTGACGGCGAATGTGGGAACGTATTGTTACGTTGCGGGTTCAAAAAGCCAACTACCGCGTTGTGCGTCATTTACGTACAACCACACGCAAAAAAACGTAAAATGGCTAGACGTAAAATATACGCCAGGTGTGCTATCAACTTAATGCAGTTTGCATTATTAATCTGGATACAAAATGCGGCAATCACTTCACATGACCACCTGGTTAAATATCTGACTATTTCTATCCGTGAAAATAGTTGAACAGTATTAACAAGCCCTCTCGTAATTTTAATTGCGGTCCAAATTGAGTAGTGTATTACATGGCTATACAACGACTAAGGGCGTTGTCTTTACAACAACATAAACAAATATTATCAAATCGACCCAGGAAATTTTGACAATTTTCGAGATAGTTTTAAACAAATAATAGATAAGTTTTAGGGTGAAATTGACAATGAACAAACATGCTTGCCATGCGGCTAAATTCCCCTGGAACTACTTCGTACTCGGTCGCAAGGAGTATTTACAAAGTTGTGTATTGGAGTTATAAAAAGATTGCCAATCGGTAATGTTCTATTAGAGATCAGTTTGTATGGGGGTATGGATATAAAGCACCCGTTAGGTATCTATACGCCAGCGCTGAGAGCACAACTGCTTGGCAGAAGCTGATTTTATTATATGAAATTTTTATATACTGGCACTTATTTTCAAGGCTTAATAAGGAAGAGCAAAATATAAAAATATTGTAAAAGGGATGGATATATAGTTCCTATCGCTATTTGAATAACTTTCTTCGTTAATGGCTATTGGGTTGCCATCTAGACAGAGGATTTAATTTTTAGGGCAATCCATTAAGATGCGCACTGGCAGTTAGTGTGCATTGTTTTATGTAAAGACTTGTTCTTTAAATAATTTAAATGTCCCTAGCGTAACAGAGTCGTGAAAGTTGGTCAAATAAAGAATATTCATAGAATATTCTAGAGGCGAATCTCGAGCGGAAATTTTTACTTCAGTTTTTTTCTCAAATTTCGGTGCTATAATAAGCTTAACAGCGTCATCAATGCAGTGAAAAAAACACGATCGCTAAAATTTCGTTCTTGACGCCGCAGGTCAAACGTGCCAGTCAATTCGCCGCGCGTCATTTGCGTACAACCACAAGCGCAAAAACGTAAAGCGCTAGACGTAAAATATACGCCAGAAGCAATGAAAGAACGGCATAATTTGCCGCAATAATGTGGGCACAAGATGCGGCATTTAGCCTGCTAATCGGCATACACTTGCCAATGAGTATGTCAAACATAAAGACTAAAGGCCGACTTTAAATTGAACTCAAGTCAAATTAAATTGACACAGATAATAGGTAAGTAATGAATTGAAAACTGCCTTACGAAGATATAACTTCGGCGATAGCACATGAGATTGAACGCAATTTTTTGACGAGATAATTTTTAATGCAATTGTCAAAAGAATCGATTCTATGTGTAATGCCTTGTATATAAGAATACATCTAGAAAAAAAAGTGAAAAAAGGGTATATTTGTGAAACATTTCGATGTCATCACTAAGTTGCCCAGTTCTCCTTTGTAATTAACTGGTATATTGCTGAACAGGTTGTTTGTATGGGAGATTTCATTCATTTGGGCTAGTAACTAGTAGCACAAACCTGAAACTCAAAAACGTTCATAATTGGGGAACCTTGTCCGAGGCGTATAGAATAGACCAGCAACCGTTAGCTAGAGTGTTGACAGTGATGGCACCTATTCTCAAGCCCAAAATGACAACGGTAAGAAGAGTTTCTCGGAAAGCTAAGTCATATGACAAAGTGTAGCTACAACGCAGTAAAATTTAGTCCCTCACGATAATATGGGACAAAAGATTTTCACCTTTCTACAGATCACGTAGGTGGATATTATGGTTGTATTCATCGCTTCTTTATGGTGAATTAACTTGAATAGGTCGACCAAGCCCTTGCTTCACGCTCTAGGGGTTCGAAATAGACCGTTCCCCGGTGGTTATTGCCGTAAATTAGACCCGTTGAATTGTTGCGCTAGTTTAATATGAAAGTATATCTAACCACACTATTCTATGGAAGGAAACGCTGGAAGTTTACGCATCAGTCGACAAGTTAACACCCAGACTATACAATTTAACTCAATTTTAAAAAAGACACCTAATAAAAGAAAAATGTTTTGCCCTTTGTAAACCTGAATGCCACGTTACATTTTCTTTGTGTACTATCGAAATGTGGTTCTATCATTTCCCGCTCATTTAGATTTGAATCAAATATGGCGGGAAAAATAATAGTCAAGTCATATAAACATATGATTGCCAAACTCAAACAACCTGTTTTTTTTTTTAAGTTGTTTTAATTAGTTTGAATATTGAGATAACACTAAAAAAATTTCTAAATGATTCCATACACTATCTTGTAGATTATCAAAGGTCAAGTGAATCACGTGTTCAAGTTCAACACGAATAATTTGTTCTCTGATGAATCACATTATGACAATCATTATGGTAAAAATACAATTAATTTTAAATAACAAAAAGGGCATTATTTTCGATACTTTCATAACTTTGGATTGTGAAAGGTATATAATCCGTATTAATCATTTGGAATCCGTTTCAACCTCAAAAGTTCATGGTCAACTTTCTTGCAATTTCAAACGGTTTAGTCATTCGTTGGGCCTGTGAATCACCACAGCTCGTCTCTTGTGGAAGCTTTCGTCAACAGGCATAGATCGACAAACAGTTTCAAGTCAAGAAAACTACCCTACTCAAGATTTCGATAAGTTGATACTCATTCGCTTTGAGGGGATAGGCAAAACCGATCTACTATTCGGAATACAATCTATATCTAAAGAAATATTTTCAAATATAGAATATATTCTGAATCGACTCATGTTTAACAGAACATATAGAAGTAATTGAAATACAATTATAAATACTCGAAAGTTAGGATAAAGAATGATTCGAAATTGAATAAGGACCTTTTGGTATCTGAATATTTTTCTTCAAATTAAGAATTTAAAACATTGAAAATATCAAATTTCCAATTGATTCAAATATTCTATTTATTTTTGACACTCCTCTTAACACTCTTCGTCTTGACACCAGATACTCCTCTTAACACTCTTCCTCTTGAAACTCTTTCCTAGAGTAAGAGTGTTTCTTACATTTGTTAACCGAAAACAGCAGATGTTTCTCAATAGCAGAGTCGTTTGCTTAAAAAAACATCCCGGAGACGAAAATCGACAAATATCGATCACGCAGTTGATGTAACCCTATCGTGATGTAACGCCCCATTTATTGATTGATACATCGAAAACCTGTGCGACAAGTCAATACAGACGTCATGGTGTTGGAGGTATAAGTCAGAGTCAGGGACCCAGGTTCTCAGTAATATGTGCGTCAGATTAGTATTCAAAAATATTACAAATAGGATTTGATAAAATGGTAAATTATGGAAAGTTTGACTTATGGTTGCAATGCGGTAAATAAATAACTACCTTGAGTTTGGAATCAAAGAATTGAAATCGAATTAGTATTTCCTATATTTGTGACGCAAGCTCATACTTACAAACATTTTAATGCGTATTTCTCAGGTCATTGTGGTATTACGAATTCAATGTACATGCATATCAAAATCGCTAAGCTCTTTCGACTGGTTGGGAAATTTTGTCATTCGCATCTAATGCGTGATTCATAAAAATTTTGTTTTGTGTTTTTCAACACTGTGATTAGTAGTAATAGTGGAGCGATAAAAATATCTTGCAACGAAAGTGGGAAATTTCGAGTTTTTTGGACGAGAGAGGATATCATGCATTTTATAATACGACCCGATAAGAGCTATTCAAAACCTATCTTCTTCTGAATAAACATATGAAAACAACATGTCTCAACAAATCAGACCAATCAGAAAACACGAAGCCATAACGTTCCTCGGAATCCGGGTTGGTTTGTTTGACGTTGGAAATCAAAATTTATGAGTTACGATGATCTTTATTCGATATGTTTGAGGAAGGCGAACTTAAACATCACGTATTATACAGAACTTAGGTGCTATGATCCAAAGTAAACACAACCGCGTCTGACACGGTAGTCATTAGCAAACGAAAAACCTTTAAGATTATTACGATACAATACATTAATATGTAGTCCCATTTCCCACGGATGAATATGTTTGAATGCTTATCTTCATAGATGTTTATTGTGCTGCCACGTAGACAGTGGGTAAGTATTTAGAAGAGCTTCACAATACGTGTGTGGCCAAGTGGTATCCCTATTCTTATTCTGGGTACGCCCGTCGTATAGTTAGGGTTAGGCCATAATTACATTTCCGATTTTCCTTATTTTAGTTCTATTACAGTTTCGGGGACTGTCTGTGTTAGCCAAGTGAAGCCATAGGTATAGATTTCAGTCTCTTTACACAACTTGATCTGAAGTAGGCGAACAAAATTAGTTACTTCCCTATTGGTACACACACTTCTGGGGCGCCCTATTATGTATCATATATAGATCGCCATTGGGTCAACGATTCAACCTAATTATTTTTTGCTAATGAGCAACCAATAATTAAAGACTGACAACTCTAAATTTCCAGGCCAAGTTTTCTATAACAAGTCTATTTCCATAACTATTTACCTGAACAACACCTTTGTGCCACCGAGCTCCAATTGTTTTCCTCCCTTCTCCCAGCCAGACTTCAACATGCACGATACCATGTATCTGGGATTTCACTGGAAAGAAAACAATTTAAGTGGTGGATGGTGTTCAAATAACTTCATCTAGGTTCGCTAGCATTGTTTAAGTTGAATATTCCGTGTATTGTATGCATGTATGTGTGCTGAACGATGTTAGGAAAAATAAAATTTTCCAACACACGTAAACTCGATGTTTACGACTTTTTGCATGATCAGTCCAAAATGATTAACATCAAATGTGGTAATAATGTAAATGTCAAACAAATTAGTTAATTGTTTTAGAGCTGATGATTCGTTTTATCAGATCCATCCACTTCAAAATATAAGGCATTAGAAATGTGTAAATCATCATGGAATTTTTATGACTGTAATAACATTTTGTTGGTCGAAACTTGATCATCAGTGGGTATGGGGATATTAGCTATCGTTAGAGATAATGAAAAACATCAAATTGCAAGGTTAATAGAGGCCATTCAAAAATAAAGGCATATGGAAGCACAGCAAAGAGAACTGAATCAGGATGGGCCAACTCTTAGCTATAAACACACTTTAGAACGGTATTTAAACGCAAAAACAAGACAATGCACAGCTTGCATCCGTAACAATGGATCTACCCGACCGTCCATGACCACATGCACAGAGCAAACGTCGAGACAGAAAGGTTATCTATTGTAAGCTAAAGCGATATGGGGTCGTTCGATTCAGGATGTTCTCTCTACAGCTGTTCCGCATGTTTCTCATGTTACACAATTGAGTACTAAAATTCAAAACAAATTTCCAAACACATTCGTGCGATGATGCACAAACTCCGGTCAAAGAAATTAAAAAAATTTGAATTCTAACGGCAGTTCTCATTCAACAATCAACAAAACTGCCGAAAACCGGTTGTTAAAATCACAGAATCGATCAACCAGTTTTCAAAACATGGCAAATCACAATTGAAGATCGGCCTTATCTACAAATGTCATCAGTATGTCAATAACATTGTTTTATTCGTGTTCTTTTAATCAGATATTAGAATCTTGGGTGTCGCTGATTAATAACCGTATACGGTGCAACTTTTGCCCTTACCCGGTAGAATTGTGAGTTTAATATTTTTCTCTTAATTTTGTATGATATTTTTTACTGACTGGAATAATAAACTTGACTATGACTCATCGCGAATATGATTTCATAATCTCAAATCATAGGAAAACCTCAAAATCATGAGCGAGATTGTGAAAACAACTGTTCGATACAGAATGACGAAAATTTGGTCTTGTTATTCGCTTATGATCATTAAGAGGAAAGTTTTATTTTCATAACTGTACATTTCCACTCATGAGACCGCGAAATAAATATCCAATGCTTATTTCAAGTAAAAGATATAACACAATAAAAACTTTCTGTTTCGCGCAGTCACTAAAATAATTGCCTTGAAATGTTTTAAATTGTATTTCCATTAATGCTGAGTCAGTGGTGTGTAAAAGTGCAAGTCATTACATCAAATTTTGAAGCACTTCTGACCGTCGTTTTTAACAACTTTCACAATTCAATTTCCGCAAACATTTAGTTTCGTTTAACTAAATATGTCTGTATACTATCTTGACCTTTCGTATAAGCTGTTTATAAACATTTATGATGGAGAACTGGGTTATGTACCAAAGCCAACAGATATCATAAATTATCTTATACATATATACAAGGTAAAGTTGCGAATTCTTACTTTTCTCATTAAAATAGACTCCGGATATGAATACCAAGTCACCAGGCTTCATACTGCTTTCTCTTAGGATCGTATTTGGCAGTGTGTCGTACATATATGTTTGATTCCAAGGCCCGATCTCGAACCCAAAATCCGTTTTAAGATCTTGCAAAACCTTTCTGATTAAGCCACAGCAGTCAAGAAAAAGAGGAGAGTTGTATTCACGAGCTGTAAGTAGGAAAATTAAATTGTAGCAACTTCATTCTTTTTTAGCGAATGGGCTCTATTTTGTTCGTAATTATGGCCTTAGAAAATTCATTTTCAAATATATAAAAATTTAACAATCGTAAGTGAGGCTCTATTTGTTCATTGATGAAGTTGATGATAAGACTACAATACCTTGTATTGCACTGTTGTAAGGTAAACAGTTGGGAAATTACATGTCAATTTCATAAAGTAACAAACCCAAAGGCGCATGTTTTTTGAAATATGTCTGCTGAGCCAGCCCACACTTTTGAAAAACTATAGAAAAACCACTAATCCACAATACTCACTGCCAGGCTCGTGATATTTTCGTTTATACGGCGTACCACTGTACTTTAGACATTGTTCCACGAACATCTTTCGAAGCGCCATCATTCGCCTTGGATCGCATCTCTTCAGTCTTCTTTTTTTCGTCGCCTTTCCGGCCGCCACCATTTTCTCCTGAGTAGAATATTTGACTATTTTTATGATAAGAAGACCACAAGATTTGGGCAAGTTTGGTTATTACCGTATGCTTATTAAGCTACAGCAAAACAAAACGTAATTTGGCGCCATAGTTGCATGACTTCACAAACATTTGGTTACGTAATGTTATTTATATATATTGTGTATGGGTGTATTATAGTTGTGGTTATGAAATGAATAAAAATGTATTCGAAGGCAATCTCAATTTCGATCGAATATTTGTATCAGTGCAGTTACTGTGTTTGTGGCGTGGCTGAAATGATACCGGGACAGTCCCATACGCGTTGGTTTGAAGCGAGCACTTAAGCATTTTCACCGAATATATTCGAGCAGATTTATTCAAAATATAAAATCTATATTGAATTGGGAAACGGGAAAAGTTTTGTCACAAGTATCAGTGAGGGCATGACATTACGATAACGTTACCCAAAGGTCACGTGTGTCTTTACATTTGAATCGTATGCTTTGGTAGATGACAATGGTAGGCAAGGCCTCGACATATGCATATTGTAGATATCGAAATACAATATTTCCACATTTACTGTTTGAAACTCGATGCGCGGGAAACTGTATTTCACAAACAATAGCACCATCCGTGTTTCCACAATAGTTAGGATTTTCATAAACGCTCGTGTAGAATACGCATAATATGAGCTGTTGATTAGCTTAGCCGTATAGGTCGCAAAACAAATTTTACTAAGGTAAAACGAAAACAAATGATTACATAAGAACCAAATTTGAAGAAGAACTCGAACGACCGCATCTTTACCAGACAGTGTTAGAAAATGTGACGTGGAACACGCCATGTAAATCTAAAACACGGTCTTTGTAAAGATTAGGTAGTGCGGTACGCAATACGAACTGATGCGACTGTCTTCCCTTATTCAATACATTTATTAATACTATACTAGATATTTTTGATTGGAAATTTTCATACTTGCTGAGTAGTTTTTAATTAAATAAGCCCGCATTACAATTACAGTATCATTCATGTACAGTTGATGCACTTAAATTCACTTTGACCTGTAGAAACAAAATTCAGTCCGTCTTTTTTATTAGGCTCAACAAAAGAAGTCTTTGGCACTATATTTGTATGGAAATTAAAAGAGCTATTACTGAAAAATCAAGCCATGTTTGTAAGACATCCAACGGTGACCTAGAAAGCGAGCTATTTGAAGAATTACTAACATAACCCACAGATTCGACATAAATATTAAAATTTAAAGGTGCAACGTGCGAAATATGCAAACTCAATCATGTTCAAAAATTGCCGCCAAAACTGCCGATGACAAATCACGTGATACCAAACTGAACAGATTTGTCACGTTCGCGGTGTTAATCTGTGGCGATTTTCGAATAACTGCCGGTAAAGTATTCACAAAGCTTTAAATCATTCTGAAGTTCTGAACAATGCCATATTTGGCGAAATACATATAAGCCAGAGCCCATAGTTCTTATTGCACAATGCGCAAGCAAAATCCTGGGAACTGAAAATATCGATAATAAAAATTATACCATGCAATGAGAAACAGAATTTTGAAACATGAAAAAACGAAATACCAGCAGAATAAAAAACATATTGAAATACTCATACTTATATGTATGCATCCTGACAGTAAGTGATGTCGTCGACTGATGCAAACGCCCCAAGGTATTCAGCTAATACCGGCCATTTTGTTTTCGTGTTACCTTGTACAGTTCAGGTCCACCTTCATCGATACCATTCCCCCGTTCAACAACGTAAGGCAAAAATCATCGACCACATTTCCATGGCAAACAATATACTGATGACTTTGGTGATTAGGTGCCATCTTTTATATATTACAGGACCCACTAATTACATACGATACCAGCGTCAAGACGCCGCGTTTCTTTATATGCAACATTATATAAAGGCTGTCAATGAAAAACACACAACATCATAACTTAATTCTGCCACGTATCATATAATTTAAAGCTATATTATCGTCACGAGACACGCCCGTTACCCGTTATCACGAAACCAGTACTGTGACGCGCATTGTTGTATTTGTATCATATTGAGTACTAACAATACACTGGCATAGTCAAGTGAGATTAGGGATAAATTTAAGAAGTCAATTGCTTCATAAGAATAAGTTCCCACGGAAATAAGTTAAACCGTAATGTAATTTTTCTATCCCATACTCGCAAAGTAGTTTTATCACTATTCATTAGAAAATTAACTTATTGTACAAGATTGACATGGGTAAGTAAGAACTAAGATATCCAAAATACAATGTCGATCTTACTTAGGATGAATATCTGAAAGACTTTATCAGAAGTTTGCGTGACATCTATACAAGAGCAAAAAAAGAACGGTAATAATAGCACTAATACTACCAATTATTAAAATGAAAATCAACCGTCACAAGAAAATTGCCACCTTCCAGTAACAATATTTAAAGGAAAACAGTTTTAACGGTCGTAGATTGAAAAAAACATATTCAATTGAATATGAACTATTTCGATAATTTATTCATTGCATTCCATTATTATTACATACAGATAATAACATATGATTATTATACATATGAGAATAATTTTTCCAACGCTCTAAAGAAAAAGAATCTCTCCAAGTTTTTCATAAAAAAAGGCAATTTTAAAATTAATCCATATCTAGAGTAACAAAGAATACCCCCTTCAACAGAAGAGTATAACTATCAAACTATTTTTTATTTGAATTCAAACACAAATTCCGGTTTTTAGGAGTTGTTAGCACCACAAAAATTAATTTGTGAAAAATCTGGATAAAGATAAAAGTTGCAATTTTTAATTTTGAAATAGTTCTTTATAATGCTTAATATTATAAAACTAGCGCTATGACGAAGTAAATCTGCATTATGATAAGTTCTATTCCGCTGAGAAAATTCCTTATTCAATAATCTAATAAGGTAACGCGAATACATAACAGAATCTGGTCTGTGAGTCTTTCTCCCGCGAATGAATATTCTAAATAAAATGAAACCGCTGTCTAAACACACCTTTTATCAACGTCGAAGAATCTGACAAATATCTCCGGTTTTCAATAACGTTATTTGAACATAATAAATCCGACAAAAGGGCAGACGGAACATAGCGTGACGGTCGCACACGGCAGGTGGCACGAGATCACAGTCGAAGCATGACTGTAAAAGTTAGCTTTGTCGATTTGATATAAAAATGAAGTCGACATTTTACAATACATTAATAGTGTAAATAGAAATATATTGAAACTTGAGCAAAAATATTATTAATGACTGATGGCAGAGCGTGGTAACATTTGATGAAACATTTTTCATAATATTACTACATATTTTTTGGTTCTTACTTGATTCAAATAATATTACTCCTTGCTATATTTTTTCAGTTATACAGTTATAAGCCTGTTAAACAACTTTTACCGAGCAGAATAATCTCTATATACAATATTCCGAACAGATTCGCATTCTTTTTTCGTATTTTGGGGTTTCAAATAGGTGAGAGCCTGTTAGCCAACTGTCGAGGTGACACGAAATGGTCACCTGCTATAAAAACTCAAGGAAGGACGCCTGTGGACAAGGCTTTTACGTGGTGATATTAAATAAATATTGGAATTGACGTGTGATGATAAGAACGTTTCCATACTAACGCATGGAAATTAAAAACGATGTCCAAACAATGTTTGGCCGCAGCAAAACACGTTGTACCCAGCGCTATTTATTCAACACCCATGTCTATCTATGGTTACACCCCACTTACGTAGCACACTAGTACTAATCCAACCGCCACGCGTACTAATATGAGTGGAGAATTTATATTGGGATTTGGTAAAAGAAATGATGCGAAGCGGGGATTGAAAAAATGTCCATGTCGACTTGATGCCTTTGCAATTTGGCAAGGCAACAAATAAGATTGTAACAATAATTATAAAAATTGGAACGGAACATTTCAATGTCATTGAATGAAATTCGCCCAAATGATCAATTTTTGAACGGCATGTACACACAAATATTTAACATCTGTCTCATCAATCTCAATTCATCACATTTGAAATATAGGGTTGGTCACGATAGGCCCTTTCACTAATTATCCAACTGACAAGGTATAATTTGTCATGAATGGCAAGTTTAAAATAGCTCTTTTCAAATAAATACTGCAAACTTCGTAAAACATTTACATTCCATCGAATCGGGGTTCAAATGCACAATGGAGAATAACTAAGCAGAAATAATTTCGGTGGAGTTTCTGGACATAAACCACTTTGGCTGTAGAGCTCAATATCAAATTATAACGGATAGTGTATAGCATGTGGTTAGTGAAGCATGTACAAAGCCTCCAGATCATCATTACCAAGCAGTATTAGACGTTACCTTGACAACATATCAAAGACTTCTTGGTAGATGAATTGGAAGCATGTAATAATCATTTTAAGGAAGGATGCAATCAGGTCTGGTTCGCGATTCATTCAAAGCATAGAAATGAAAATAATTTTCCACGGACTCTGTGTTTCAAATTTATTAAATAACAACACAAATATATATAAACCATTACGTTTAAATCTTATACAATTATAATAGAAATTTTTTTGACATAAAACCGATAATATATATTTCAAATAACCTGTCGGAATATGTAATTGTGGCATAAAACAAAATCAGTTGTATTATAGAAATGCTTCGGAAATATTGACACAATGGAAAAATACATATTTTAGCAGGAAAATTCCTCGTTAAAATTTTACTGTCGCAAAATAATGATACTAATTGAAAATAATTTCTGTGTGCACAGCCATTTTGTAAAAAGCCCTCTGGCAATGTACAGCTGCTAGCCTGAATATGTTCTACATTAATATCCACCATTTTATCAATTGATGTCTTCAAGGTGGAGAAACCCGAAAAAGCAACATTGTCAAAGCAAAATAACTGCAATTGTGTAGTTATGGTTTAGTTTCATCCCCGAAGGTAACTTATTTTAAGCAAACAAGTCAAAGGAATCACTTACAACGGGGCCCCGTGGTCTTGCGGCCGTTATGTTGAAACGTTGGAATATATAGTTTGATGCTTATAGTAATAAACCTGTATAAAATAATGATTTGAAACAGACCGTTTGGTTCGAATTCAACCACGGCACTCACTGCCACATAAATATGAATCGTTGGCTAACACTCCGTAACGAAATTAAAAGCATAGTCATCTACGCTTAATGGTTGTTACCTCTAAATCCCATTCGTCCGAGTGTATTCGATCATTGTCATACGAGCTATTGATTTACATGCATTTATGCTGGCACACTGAAATTCATCGTTTCCATAACAATCTCACTAACCATAAAACTCTTATAGGACCTAATAATTTTATAACCTGGTCGCCTTCGTGCAAACAACTTTTCCAATGATGAAATAATCTTTCAAGCTTTGGCATTGAGATACCTAAATCTACTAATTCTGTATTGAGTGACCACGTGGGCGTAGAGCGAGAGACGTCCCTTGTCAATGTGCCAGGAGAGACGTAAAGCAAGCCAGCATGATACATGATCCAGTCACCTCTCTAAAGCGGGTTTGGCGTAACGTTGCTACGCCCAGCCAAAACCGCTTGGTAAGCGCCGTACGGCTATTAATATCATATTTTGGGACTTCTTTCGTAACATTTCTATATACTTTTTGAAGAAATAGTTCATATTAGTGTGGACGTTTTACAAATGCCCTTACAAACAGAGTGGATTTGGTATGTATGAATGCCACGGATAGTTGGAATAGTACAGAATACGGGGTCGAACAAGTTCTCTCGAAATTTGCGCGCGCTCTACCGTTTCATTTCGCGCCTTTTCATAAGCACAATATCTCAGGTGTCACCAAACAAACTAAAATGAAGCCATGGTGAGATGGGTACTTCTGTCGGCTATTTAATGGCGCCAGGCGAAAACAGCAAAAGGCAGTTACTGAGATGAATGGCACCAAAGAAATGATGTTATTAATATATCTTTGTCTCTCGCAAAATCTCAAGCGACCTCACCCACGCACTTTTTGTTAATATAATGTTACTTGATTTCTAAGCATCTCCAGTTTTTAGGTCTTAGTTAGTTTATTTTGTTTCATGTACACAACATTTTGACTTTCTCGCGAAAATAGAAGAGCTGTTCTTGTATTTGTTTGTAGGGAATTGAACGCAAAAACATATCTTAATAGGTTTATTTGGTAGCCTATCTAATTTCTCGCTACAACAACTCATCTAGAAATAGAACTTGATACTACAGCATCGCCTGGGTATTAGAGGGGGTTTCGCGTGAAGTGCATTAGGATCTAATCAATTTTACAGATATCTGACAACCGAACCGCAATTTCTAATATTAATTGAGTTAATTGGCTTAGCTACTTACTCACATTTCTTTCGTCTGCTGTATGCGTCTCGACGTTGCATCCATCTTTGATGGATATGCTTATCTGTTCGTCGGCAGCTGATTACGCACTGACGGTAGAGCGTATTTTGCGTCGTATTTAAGGCTGTCGTGATGTTCACGCACAATGTCGTCGACGTGAGATTATCTGATTTTTGCGGTGTAGCGTAAGATGGAATTCGATAAGCGTTGTATATGGTGAACCACTTTTTACAAAATCCTTGGCAGTCAATATTACATGCGTTGAACCAGATTTAATTTAGCCTCAGGGGCATTGTGCGTGCAACGTCAAGTGCAGCATTGACGCAGAGTGGGCCGACTACGTAAAAAGTCCTAGAATAACACCGAAGTCTAGACAACATGAGTGACCCTGAATACACCGGGAAAGTGAAGAAAACAATCTATTCAATAAAAAATGGGTGCTTTTATATTGTGGTTGGTGTGAATCATTGTTTCACTAATTTAGCGTAAATTTGGACAAGACTAAAGATTAAATCGAACGGTAGTTACGATACGATAGTTACACAAAATTTGCCAAAT